TATGTTTCTGTCTTTTCATTCATCATTTTAATTGTGTGTTCACAGGTTCTGCACTCTCAGACTCTGACCACCAGAACACCGTGGGTCATGCACCGTGGGTCAACACTGCATCTACTCAGTGCAAACAAAATGGAGTGTGAATCATGAGGATGATGCTCAAAAGGCCTACATTAAAATTACAGCTAGCAGTACAAAGATCTAAAAGTTAAATGTGGTTTCATCATAAACACCAACTTTCCTGAACTTGGAGCATCTCCTGATGGACTCTATGTGTGATCGCTGCTGCCTGGAGAAAGTTTACTTACAAATATTGAACATGCAGCATCCAGCAGGCCGTGAAGTTCACCTGAAGAAACATCATCCATACTCTGCACAGGTACATCATCAAACCACTGTGACCTTGTGTGGAGCCAGAAAGACATGGCTGTCGTCCGTGTGTCTCCAGAACAGGAATTGTGTGAAGCTCGTCTCCAGAAAGCACGAAGCTTCTTAAACATATTTATCAGAGCACGTTTGTACTGCAGCTTCAAGGGAGACATAAATATGTTAATCATGCTATTAACTTTTATTTGAACATTTTGTGTAGCAGTTTTCTATGAAATGTATTACCTCACACAATGTTCATCATGTTTGTTACTAGAAACGTTAAATTACATAAAATGTTTACTTCAAAATAGGATCTGTTTCATTACATGTTTATTTCTTACCTGAAATATATTAATACATCAAATGTTTATTACAGATGTGATCAAGTTCATCAAGTTTACATGTTCCATGAAGTGATGAATCAAATGTTTCATGAATGTTTACCACATGAATTTTTATTTAATGAGAAAAACAACCACTTATGTTTTTTTTTCAACTGTAAATATATTTCAATCAATGAATGCAGCAAATGTAATTTTTTTCTCCAGTCTACATTTGACATATATCAGTAGCAGCATGTGCACGTTTCATTAGCATTAGATTTACAAACACATTAGAACAAATGTTCACTAAACTAAAGCACACACACCCACACACCCACACACCCACACACAATGTTAAGAAGTGTCACCTCTTCACCCCCACATGTAAGCACCAGTATAGTTAACTGGTATATTTACATGTGAGCACCAGTATAGTTAACTGGTATATTTACATGTAAGCACCAGTATAGTTAACTGGTATATTTACATGTAAGCACCAGTATAGTTAACTGGTATATTTACATGTGCGCACCAGTATAGTTAACTGATATATTTACATGTAAGCACCAGTATAGTTAACTGGTATATTTACATGTGCGAACCAGTATAGTTAACTGGTATATTTACATGTAAGCACCAGTATAGTTAAGTGGTATATTTACATGTGCGCACCAGTATAGTTAACTGGTATATTTACTTGTAACACTGTGTATTTGTTTCTCATGCAACAATCACTCTTTCCACATGAATTCTAAGGTGTGCTCGTGTGTGTTCAACATCCTTAGCATCAAGTTCACATCTCCATTTAGTGAATGATGGGATTTGAGCCTCAGCACATCATTCATTTATACTTTTGTTGGATGAAACTGGGACCCTGTGTACACAGTTTTGTTCCACCTCATGTACAACATGCGATGTGAATGCCAATAAAGACCCTTGACCTTGACTCCCACACTGTCTTTAAGATCAAAGCCTCTGTCATAACAACGTCCGCAGGTAATAATCTGGAGAGAAGGCCACAGCTTTCTGTTATGAGCTTGTCTGATGGACGTCCATCCCTTGGAAAGAAAAGAAAGACACAGGTAGGGTTTTATGTGACACCTTAAAAAGATGCAGAACAGATGCATTAGTGTTAGTGGAACCATTGAAATTGTGAGGTTTGTTTTAATGCTGGCAGAAAATGCCTAACAGTGTTAAACAATGACAACAAGATGGCAAAGCAATGAAGTCCTGTATAATATTTAATATTATAAAAAATATTTGTCCAGCTGTTTTTTATTCAGCTCTGACCTGAGCTCCCTGTTCTCCTGTAACAGATGGTTTATTTCTGCTCTTATTTTGTTCACACATTGTATTTGTACCTTTTTGCTGGTTCATGTTCCTCCTCTCCATCATCTGCAGCCTCACTGAGCTGCTCTCCTGGAGTTTCATCCACTTCATCTGAAGGTTTGTCTTGAAGAGGACATATCACAACACACATCAGTATTACTACAGTAAAAGTGACAACACTAGAAACTTTAAACAGTTTATTTCACAATAACAGATGTCCACTTTGTCTAAACTCGGAATAAGTTACATGTAAAATATAAACCTGACCTAAACCAGGTTGACCCACTTCTATGAACATGAACTAAACATGAGAACACCCGGACAAAATCATGGCACACATTTATGACACACCAACAAACTGAATTTAGACACTCACCAGAATGTCTGGAACAAATCAGCAGATATCTTGGGACGCTGGAGAAAGTTATCAGGACGTCTCACTGTCTCCTTTTTGTTACATCCTACACATGAGCTCCTCGCGTTGTTTCCTGGTGGATAATCTATTTAAAAAGTCTGTTTTTGATCTTTTTACAATTCCAGTCATGTGACCGGACATTACATCTAATAACGCAGCAATTTCGGACCATCGCTAAACTGTTTTAACCTGTAGTATGAACAGATGCTGAGATATATTCATACATTAAACGGGTTCTTCATTTTTCTGAACTGTGTAACATGCGTGCATTGAATTTAGCAAAAATGTAACGAGAGACGTTATTTATCTTTGACCCATCAAAATGAATGCGGTCATTTATTTACAGAATCAAAGTTTAACATCAAACATTTACATTAATTTGGCAAAATATGAAAATAACAACAGCATAATTAATCAATCAGGAAAACCATACGGCCATGGTTTTCCGTTGCTTCACCACAGACATTAATGAAAACATCTGGATTTATTTTCTAGCAGAAAGGAGAGTTTGAAGATGGAAAATTGAGATTTATCTTACAGAGAGATGTGTGAGGGAATTTATCTGTTTTAACCAGAACAGCACGCTCTTTGGAAATCAGCTTGTCCCAAACGGTACACTTTTGGGTGAAGGTCGACTTTACCTTTCTGAAGATAGATCAGGTCGGCGTGAAGTCCTACTTCCAGCCACTTTCAGCGTCTCCGTTGAGAACAGCTAAAATACCTCGAAAGTCGTGCGAGGTTACCCAAACAGAAGTTATAATTCCCAAAATCGTCTCTGGTTCAGCTCTGCATTCTGGATTCCAAGAACTCTGAACTCTTCTGGAACTCTTTGTGAACTCTGTAACTCTGGAACTCATCTCTTCTCAACTCTACTGTTGAACTGGGAAGTTGCCACATTTAAACGGGCTATACTTCCGGTTCATTTGAGAGCTTTCTGATTCGTGGATGGACCAGAACAGAGGTGTGGTTTGTGATGTAAGGTGTTATGGAAAGTCAAGGATTGTTTAAGAACAGACAGAAAGATATCATGGGAAAACCAGACTTCGTGGTGCCACCTCTCCTGTATCTTGCTGTAAAAGTTAAACATGACATTTCTTTTCAGTAAACTTTTTAGTTGACCGAAGCTCGAACTTTAACACACTTACAAATTTGCTCATTGAAGACAGAAAAATCAAGAAATGCATATTACCCTGATTTCTTCTTTGAATGAGGAATAAAAATCATTACTACTGTTTAAGTAAATAAAAATGAGTAGTTCACTTCAACATGTAAACATTGTTTGAACTAACACAATTTGATTATCCAAACATTTGTAAAATAGTAATGATCATAGAGAATTGTCTTTTCTACTTGATTAATTCAAGAAAGAAAGTCTCAGGATGGGTCAAACTGTATTTCTGGATGCAGATCAATGAAATGACAGTTTCTGTCCATCTGGTCAGTTTTGACATAGGCCTAGTCCACTACAGTCCCCCCTTTGGAAATCATCGCCTGTCCATGGGGATGAATTCCAAACTTGAACTTACGCCTTCGAATGTCCTTGAGCTTGATGTAATCCAGCAAGGAAGACCAAAGTCAAAAGTAATCCAGCAGGAAAACAAAAGTCAAAAGTAATTCCACAATGTTCTTGGTAATTCCATTGTGTTGATCATAATTCCATAATGTTGTTGGTAATTCCATTGTAGCAATGCTTTAACCCCTTGGAAACAGAGTCTGTAATCCACTGGAAAAAGTCATATAATCCACAACGGTAAATCCACAACGATTGGAAGTGTTGATTAATCAGCATACAGAGGGGTACCCTTGGATTGAACTGAAGATGCGGCCACTGGATGAAGAGTGGAGACCAACGTCAGGATTGCAGGTCGCCTCCAGCGAAGGTCGTCTCCAGCGACGTCCAGCCTGTGCCGTTCTGGTTCAATGTGCCATGCAATTATGTGGTTTAAGGTGGGCTTATGAAG